ATATATTTCAACTTGTTGTAAAGATACAGACGGAATTTTCCAAGGCAATCATTTCCTAAAATCTACAAAAAACAGGATTATGATCCCCCCCTGTGGCGACCACCAGCTGGAGGTCTCCTTTTATCTCGTTTCTTGTACCTCCTCCTGGCTGCAGCGGTCCAGTTTAGGCCAAGTCTCCTGCAGGTAAACAAGGTTTTGGCCTCATTTAAAGAGACTTTCTGCAAACTAAGGAAGCTAAAAAATATATAAAAAAAAATAAACAGAGCTCATCCTGAACTTTATCAAATGGTGCCGTTTGAGTGAAGTCCAGTAGTTTTCCAGGCATGCAATTTTAAAATGCAGGTACGCAGTCAATGTAAACAAAACACTTTCTTTTCTGCGTTAGAATTCTCAAACCCAAACTATAAATGTGGCTTTTTGTTGACCTATTTTTAGTCACTAAGTAAACCAACACATAAACAAATGTAAAACCTGAATTTGTTTCTTTATTATAATTTTTTAACAGTCTTCGTGACATTTTCAAAAATAGGTTTAAGAAACAGAAGAAATGCAAAACAAATGAATTTTTATGGGGAACATTTCTGAACATCAAATGTTTTCATTCATTTAAATATGTCGATTTGAAAAGAAATTCTCAGCTGTGTTTAAAATAATCTTTTATATTATCCAATGCAACCTGTCCCCACCTCCTCTAGGCTGTCACTGATCACCGCCCCGCCCCAGAAAACACTCAAACACATTTATTTAGGGGGTTAAAAAAGGATCTCATCAAGTTAAACTGGAAAATTAGAAAAAGAAAAAAAAATAGACCAAATAAATGGTGCCTAAATGCCACATTGTGTGAGAATAACATTGTTCTAATTTTTTTATTTCCAACTATTTCATCACATCTTTAAAGTTTATTATTGTTGCTTTAAGTGAAGCAAAAATAAGAAGAGAACAGCTGGGATCAGTTTTGTCAGTTGGTCCTCCTCTCCTCCGGCACCGGGACGGTTTGATGGAGGCCTGACAGCTCTTTGTTGGTGTGTAAAAAAAAAGAGAAAAAATAAAAATCAGTGGTGATGCTGAGAGAGAGAGAGAGAGAGAGAGAGAGAGAGAGAGAGAGAGAGAGAGAGAGAGAGAGAGAGACCCTGCCTCTGAGAGAGAGAGTGAGAGGGGCCGGCTCTGCTCTCCTCACAAATACTACACGGTTCTGAAAATCCAGGCAGTCCCAACCTGACCTCCAAGCACCGAGGAACCCCCCCTCCTCTTCCTCCTCCTCCTCCTCCCCCTGTCCGGGAAAATCTGGAGAGAAATCTGAAAAAAAGGAAAGAGAGAGAGGGAGAGAGAGAAGCAAAACTTTGTGTCATTATTTTTGGCTTGTTCTCACTCCTCCCTCCCCTCATCCCTCTGCACCTCCACACCGTTTTGTCGCCTCATTTGGACTATTCTTGTTTTTTTTTCTTTCCCTTTGGAGGAGAGACGTTCACTGGAAGCAGGGAAAAGCTGGTCCTCCTGTCCCACCCATGCTGTA